CCTCCGCGTCATTAAAATTGTCGCTTCCCAGAGCGATTTTTCGAATTTATTTTGTCCACTAGAAGGGCAAAGAAATCAGCTAGAAATTGAGGCAGAGCATTGTCGACGAACCAAGCTTTAGTTTGTGGCCCCCCGCTTCTCTGCACTTGCAGCTAAGGTCGACGTCTTCATCAGAGTTTGAGGCAGACCCTTCAGCACTGAACAATATGCTGAACAAGACGCGCGGTCAAATTCAGGTCAAGAAACATCGTTTTCAAGCGATCCATGCCTCCCGGTGGCAGGCGATGAAGGCAAGCTAGCATTTTTCAAGTACACTGTAACGACCTTCCAGCGGGATAGGGTAAGCAGTTTCGCACCTTCTTTCCTTGGCAAGCGCTTCGCTGATTTTGTTGGTGTTTTCAGACCTGCTACCTTCGCAGCCACATGCGCCACAAGTAGCGTATTTTAGGAATTTGAGACCGCTTTGTTCTTGCCATCGTCAACTTAAGCATTTCGTATTCAGGAGAGATACCAGGATTCTTATACCCGAGCTTGGAGTCTTGATATATGCCCACGCTAACGATGTGGGACGGCACAAACTCCAGAAAACGAAATGCGCTCTGGGGCGGAATAGTGCGGAGCGTGATGAATTTGCTTGGTGCGGAGGAGCGCTCCGACAAAGTCCGAGACCACCATGGCTTCAGTGACAAGTCGACATTGCGCAGGAAGGGTCGCACCAGTGTTCGAACACAGAAAACAGCGATTACGACAGTCTGACTAAGACGAGCCAAGTCTCAATATTGCGATGTGCGAAGCGACAATTTTAATGACGCGGAGGAAGTACCTTGGTAGTAGTACATTAGTAGTCCACTGCAGTGGCAGGTCCAAAGAAAAAGGAGGGGGGGGGGGGGCGCTTAGCCAAAATTGAATCGCTGATACATGTGGCTTCCAGTAGTGCATTTGCGAAATTTAAGCACCCCCCCCCCCCCCCCCCCCCGGAACCGTCCCTGCACTGCCGCCAACAGCAGCCGTGTCTTACCTCATTCGACAGCATCTCGCCAAGAAGCAATTGATCAATGAGTAGGCCATCCACGGTGCCGTTTGCAACCACCTCCAGCGCTTCAAACATTGTGCTTGCATGCACTGGACAGGGATAAAGACAGAAAGAAAGAAAGAAAATGTGAAGTCAACACACATACCATATTTCCCCGAACATGGGTCGCACCTTTTTCCCACTGAACATCCATGGCGAAGAAGGAGATGCGACTTACAATCGAGCGTGACATGCTGCTTATGTGGATATACTGAACCAAATCGCCTTGAACCTGAAAAAGGAGGTGCTATTTATAATTGAGTGCGACTTAAAATCTGGGAAATACCGTACACCACATGCATCATACACTATTAGTGCACTATTAGGGCTAGTGACAATCGTGAGGTACAGCAAGAGCGACGCTTATGTACACATGCTACATGCAAAATAATCACATACCAGTGACATTGGCCCCCTTCTTGACTGCATAGCTGTACTCTGGAGCTCCAAGGAGAACAGCAACCTGAGCAGAATGGAAGAACGGCACAACAAACGGCAATGGACACAAACAATAAAGCAACAGAACACATCAACATAATCATATCACGCATGTTACGAGAAGTGCTGCTGGCAATAATGGACACCAGCAGCTCCTCTGATGTGCAGGATGATGCAATAGGGTTCATGTAATCATGTTCCGGCAATCATGATTCACCATGGTCAGAACAAGCCCCCCCCCCCCCCCCCCCACACACACACACACCATGTGACACCATGCGATCACAATGAGCACATTACAGACTTCTTACGCTTGAACCGGGTAGTTCAATATCTGAGTTCAGCGAAGCCGTAGTAAATGACGTGGTGACCGTGGCAGTAAACATGGTTAGTATGATCACACCACATATCATCCACAGCAGAGCAATCAGACGACCGAAGAAAGAGCGTGGTACTTTGTCACCAAACCTGCAGGCACGCGTACATTACAATACACAAGAAAGCAGCACATGTATTAACAAAAAAAGAAAAGGACAAAACCATACAAACTGTGACCAGGCTCTGGATGTCTAAAAAGGATAAAAGGCACACACACTGTAATGAGACTCTGGATGGTTTAGAAAATACGCAGGGATGACAGAGATAATATGGTCCACACCGCATGCAGGAGTGTTCATTGAAATGATGAAGGATTCACCATCATGTGATTTCACGTATATAATTGGAGGGAGAGGGAGAGAGATAAGGGGGGAGAGAGAGAGAGAGAGAGAGAGAGAGAGAGAGAGAGAGAGAGAGAGAGAGAGAGAGAGAGAGAGAGAGAGAGAGAGACACACACACACACACACACACACACACACATGCACAGAGAGAGAGAGAGAGAGAGAGAGAGAGAGAGAGAGAGAGAGAGAGAGAGAGAGAGAGAGAGAGAGAGAGAGAGAGAGAGAGAGAGAGAGAGAGAGAGAGAGAGAGAGAGAGAGAGAGAGAGAGAGAGAGAGAGAGAGAGAGAGAGAGAGAGAGAGAGAGAGAGAGAGAGAGAGAGAGAAGAGAGAGAGAGAGAGAGAGAGAGAGAGAGAGAGAGAGAGAGAGAGAGAGAGAGAGAGAGAGAGAGAGACAGAGACAGAGAGAGAGACAGAGAGAGAGAGAGACAGAGAGAGAGAGAGATAGAGAGAGAGGGATAGGGAGAGAGAGAGAGAGAGAGCGAGCGCTTACCCGACCGTTGTCATAGTGACCATGGCCCACCAGAAGCCATTGAAGATACCGCCGGGAAAGGGAGCAGAAAACTCGTAGTTGTTGGTGTGATGCTCCTGCGCAAATCAACACAATACACACCAGTACAAGCTCTTACATTTCAAACTAGCACGAGAGCATAATAGAATCGTATGCATGGTTCCCTGTGAGATACAGTCAACTTCTCAAACCGGATTTAACGGCAATTCGCGAATAACGACAGAATTTCCATGCCCAGAGCAAAGTCCATTCTACCTGTACACATGTAATGAGACTTCGGGTATAAGGACACTTTTCTGATGCCCCGCCAAATGTCGTTATACGCAAAGTTGATAGTATAGCCAATAAGTTGGGTGCAGCACTCTGGCTAATAAAGGATTACTAATGGGAATCAGAGGATCAAGAATAAGCCAGTCGATCCCAATCACATCGCATCTGGTAGGCTTCAGCGGCTATTGGTGGTACCCAGTTGTGCTTTCCAATCACATGTGCATGACTACTTTTCACTAATTTAGATGACATCACAGAAACACAACACATCACTTCGCCGCTCAACGAAAGCCCTGTTTCAATATGTGGCCAGCTGTCTTTGATAGTACGGTACGGAATATATGTACGAGATAGCACCAGGCAAGGTGCGCCACGTGATTCGTGCCGGCCCTACGGAACACACACATCCAAAATAAAGTGCTGCAGACCCTGGCTAGCGCCAGACGCTACTAAAGTAACGTCCTTTTGAATAGCTTCGGGAATAAGTCAGCTAAAGCCGAGCGCTGTGCAGCCCTAGCTCTGCGAGCAGTGTGTTACGCACTGGAGAAGGGCGCTGACTGATTCATCCGCCTATTAATATACTGTAAAACATGTAATTTTAGGTGCATTGAAATTTCAGTGCCAGGGACCTGCCAGGTTTCAGGTGTAATTTAGAATTAGGTGACCAGCTTTCCCTTGGCATACAGGGCATACCCTAGTGCCTTTTAGTTGTACAAGTAATTTGAATCTAGGTGCCAGTGTTTTCTCTACCGAAATCACCGAAATTAAAGTTACACCGAAAACAGCATGTTTTACAATACATTTCATTGGGCAGGACAGTAGACAGGGACGTACAGCGGCCCACATGAGGGTACCGGCCAGACTGGCGGTGGCCAAGACGAACAGGAGTAGATACTGTGCATCGTGAAGGGACTTGAGAATATCCGGACTCACGTACGACTTCTGCACCACGTATGCGGCACCTGCAGGATGAACACAGTCATGCACATGCGGGCACATATGTACGGACAACACACATGCACAACACACATGCATGTACGCATAAAAGCACATGAACACACACACACACATACACATACACACGCGAAGTTGACTATACTACTTGTCACACAAACAGAAAAAATAGACAGTGTACATAGAATCGAGCATGCTCAAACTCCTCTCAGAATGTACATTGTAGTCCTTGTCCACTATTACTTACCTGGTGACTGTACTACGGGTACATAGTTATCCTGGAAGGCCAGCTGAGGTGGCAGGTTGAGCGGCAAACCTATCGTGTAATCACTGTAGACAATGTCACTGATGATCGTTGATTGAATTCCCGGAGCCGAGTAGTTCGTCTCCTAGGCAAGCGAACACACGCCATTCAAGCAGCAAAGATAGCAAGCAAAGCAGGAAAGATAAGAAAACATCATTGCTATCAGTATGCAATGCTACCTAATCATTACAATAGCTTACTATCATCTAGCACCTCTTGTCTTCTAAGCAGCTCTGCCTGTGGGCATTGAGCTGTGTTTCCGAGCAGTGCAAAGCCTTTCTCTGTTGTATCACAAATTCACAATCCTGAACCTTAGTTTTAAAGTCCTGGGCAGAGAAATTCAACCTCATGTATAAAATAGCGTTGCCGGACGTCACACGGCCCTAGCACTACACATACTATCATGTGCACTCGAACGTGGGGCTACTTGATTCATGAGGTCGATGTGCTCTGGCCAAAACTGTACATGTTCGTCGCCACGACGGAAGATCAAGCCGAGCAGCAGAAGCCAAGTTTCCATCTTCACACATTTTCAACCCTTGAGATTCACGCAACAGGCATCTACAATGTATGTTTTTGCCTTTGGAAAATCAATCAAATAAAAACGAAACGAATATGAAAGAAATGAAATAACACAAGCCACGGCTGATGTACAACAGACACTGTGATGAATGAGAATGAGGAATGAGGTAATGGAAAGCGGATCGCGTAAAGTGACTGATGTATGTCAGAACTGCTTCATCGTAAAGTGCAAGTAATACAGCATGCAGCAATGTCATGTTGCCAACATCAAAATCGCCACTGAGATGGCTAGAAGCACGGATAAATCTAGTGTTTCATGGCCGGAATTGTGCTGGTGCATCATGCTACGTCTGCAGACAGAGCATGGCCAGCTGAGTGAATACTGCTGTCAAAAACTTACAAGATAATGCAGGGACGTGATGTCTTCGCAACAGGTAGCCAGCGACAGATTCAGCATCTCCGGAACTAGCCCTCCAACCTACAAGAATAAAAGTCATACAACCAAACGCATTCCGGGAAGTAGTCTAATGAGGCACATCCACAAAAGCAGTCAAATACATGCACATACACACACACACACACACACACACACACACCTCAGCCCTCAGACCTGCCCATCGCGGAAGCGATGATAGCGAACAGCTATGTTAGACATGGCAACTTGTGCTGGGATTACACTATTCAACAGCTTGCAAGGCTGATGAATTGGGTAACTCCCGCATGCCCTGCTGTCCTGACAGAATTTTAAGTTGGTGTCATTTTTTACGATGTAATGCTCCTCGCACGAGTGTTTATGATGTTCATACGGGCCATAGTGGAGCTGCACACTCTTGGAGATACATGTAATGTGTATGTCATGTCCTCTTGGTACAACCAGACATGGTGAGTCCCTGCCACCGAAGAAACTTTACAAGCCTGGCCAACTGTTGGATGAAACAGGCCCGCTGGAACCGGGCCGGTTGGTCAGGTTATCACCAGACCAACTTTTGGGCCACCAACGTACGATTACTGCTGTGGAGGGCATGTGTACCCGCCATATCATACACACACTGTATGAAAGGCCTTGATAGTTGATACCACCGGACCAATCAAGAACTGCTTCCGGTGGTCCTGGAAAAAGGTGCGGTTGTAACGTGGAAGCGCAGACCCAGCACTACTCACAGTTAGGTTAATGCCTTCTCGTCCAGGGTGCCATTCCGCGTAAGGCGGCAGGTCATACCACAGTACGCCCAGGTCCTTCACGTCCAGCTCTTTCAGGCAGTCCAGCTTTTTGCCGATGTTGATGGTGCCCCTGCCTCCCGGAACCTGCAAGGGCGACCAGAGGCAGAAGGACAAAGTCAAGATGCCGATGTGACGCACCTCAAGCACAGACTAGTCACCACTACATCATGCATACAGTACAACCTGACTAGGCGACCACTCGAATACGGTGACCACCTGTCCTACAAGGCCACTGAAACCAGGACCAAGAGATGCTATTTCCAGTAGGGGTGAAACGGCTCCATGTTTTTCATGTTCGGGTACCCTAATGCCAGCATAGATTCCCACGGTTCGGGTATCAGTTCCACGCAGTCTTTTCTCCAGACCGACAAAATGCGTTCGTGACAATTATTTTCAAGAAAGCATTTTTACAAGCAAGAACGAGACATCAGAGAGTCCATGTGCGAAGAAGATAATGACCAGGAGAACCCTTTGGAAGGGCGGTGATCGTGAGGTAAGACATTTTAAAAAGCTTGAGTAGACTTTACGTGTACAATGTCATCATCGTATTTGTACGAGAACGAGATTTTTCAGGTTTCGGTTCGAAATTTGACGCAATTGGTACCCGATTCTTTTCTGCTGGCGGTTCCAAAACCGGTTCCTTACCCGAACCATTTCACCCCTAATTTCCAGTCAAATGACCCTGGATAAGGAGACCACCTGGTAACAGAGACCACGTTTTGAAGGTCCCATGAGCGGTCGTCTTAGAGTTAGGCATCAGGTTGTTGGCTGGCTCAAGAATCTGCCTAGTTGTTGCACTCTCTGACTGTATATTTTCCAGTTACAGTGGTACCATGGTGGACAGTTACTCACACAACATGTATCCACGTGTTCTATACGTCTTTTTACGTTTGGGTGATAGTTCCTGCACCTGCCTTGTCTTGAGAGAATGGGTGCTCGCTCATTTCTAGAACTAACTGATACTTGCAAATATGAGAGCATTGTGCGGGTAGGCGTGTATTTCCCGTCAATTCATCAGGTGTGTTTACCACCATTTCTCTAATATTATTATTATAATCATGATGCTGCATTGGATTTTGCACATCATCAGTCTTGATTGCCTTTCAAGTTTTTAGGGATGATACGTTTTTAGAGTACCGAGGAAAGACGTAATGAGAAGAAAAGGTTCTTACCCGAGGACCTCTTTGTAGGGATTCAGCTCCGAAACTTCCAGCTAAGACAATGATGAGGAGAGCTTGAACTTGATCCATGATGTCCAGGGCACGGGAGCTGCACTGCCCTCCAAAACCTCACCAGGAAATACTGCTGTTTGCTGAAGATGAAAATCTGTTCGTTGGCACGAGTCATCGCCATTCTCTGTGTAAAAGCACCCATTGTCGGTGACAGGATGCAGTTGAGTCCGTTCCATGTGCGTTCTATGGTCGGAACGGTACAGAGACTGAGAGAAGATTGTATTGACAGGTCTAGAAAGGTGGTGACTGGCACGAGATGA